AGTCGGAGTTGGATTTTTTTGTACCGTCCGAAATCAGTCAAGCTGCTCTGAAAATACCGAGCTTGGGCTTGCATGGGAGAACATTCACAGGCATGGAAGCACTTTCAGTGACAGCTTTGCTTGGACTTGAAGTGTGACACAATGAAGATCGGATATGCCCAGGATTGTTTGCTACTGAAGTCTATGCTGCATGAGAGTGCCGCAGAGAAGCTCAGATTTGCTTCTAATTTCTCGTACTGAAATCAGAATTGGTGTGCACGTACTGGTAGCGACGGTCAGGAAGTATTGTCAGAAGGACAATTCCTACAAAATCGAAAGAACAGGTGCCCTAAATGTAAATGGCAGAGCAAATAAATAGGGCGGTTAAACGGCATGCTCTGTGAACATATCTGATTTATGTACTCTGCTCTTTGGTTACGCGAAAATAATGGAAATTTGTACTGGGTGCAGAAGGCTGCACTTGCACTACCGCCCCTTCCGCGATAAACCATACGAGTTGCCGAGCTACGCAGCACCTAGAAACCTTACATATTTTGTGGGCGTCGACATCTGAACAGCCTTGTCTGGTTTTCTTTAACTTTGATGTCCAGTCTTGTAATGCAGTAATTGTATGCTTGCAGTCAGACGGCCAGGCTGAATTTCGCCCTTTTGCTTTTTTTTACAAAAGATCAACAAAATTATCCTGACAGTCAGTGCGAGAATGAAAGTTGTGTTGGTGGTGGTACCGGGATGCTCACATATGTCCCTTGATTCTGAACTGCAAACCCCAGTAGTACCCAAAGCTTTTTCATTGTAAATGCATCACCATTTCGGGATTGTATCAGCGAGACAAGCAGTACTTCTCTTGTAATGGATTTTGTTCGTGCGCTGGCGGTGACATCGTGTATGCCGCATATCTGAGAAAGAGTATGTTTAGTTGGTCACAAAGAGTTAACAGTTCATTTAATGTTTACTCCGTTTATTCTTCTGTTAACGAACTCTTCCATTTATCCACATTTCGTATCCGTACGTCACTGTCTTCAACACTGTGTAAACGGTCCTTCTAGTTTGTTGTTGGAATGATTTCGACAGTACTGTGAAATTTGAGCTAAATGCCTACCTTTTACATACAATTCCCGGCTCCGAATTATAATCGCATATTTACTTCTTTAATGTAACTGTCAGGCTCTTCTAAAACAAAACTCTCTGTCTGTAGTCAGGCGGTGGTTATATTAGCACTTTACATCATATTCGTTTTCGACGCGTTAATTTTCATGCTCCATTACTTCAGTTCTTAAGCCTCTGCAACATTTTACCTATATTTGGGAACAATGCTTTACAGTGAGGGTAATGCCACCAGAAAAACTTGAGTGATTTAGCTGCTCGCTCTTGATGCTCAGATTGCGTTGCCAGTCTAGTTAACAAAATATCTTGTTAAAATGGGATGAAAATAAAGGGCGAAAGAAGCCCAGCCAAAATTGATAATACCGAGTAGGGTTGACGAGAAGGTCGTCGGTATAGCTGGAGCCGTATGTGATCCTTTACCTTAGCCTATCTTGATCACTGTGCAAGCTGGAAAGAAAAAAGTTTTATGTCTCTAACAGCTATATTTGCTTCTTTAACAATTCCCAAAAAGTTCTCATTACTCCTTTCATTTGCAAGAACTCGCAGCTGTATGTAGCAAAATTGCATGTTTTAAACGTGGTTTACTTCTATTAACACGTTGCATCATTAGTAACATTCTTATGCGAATTCGTTTGTCTTGCTTCTCCATTCATGCAAATGAACTTTCCACCTGAAATTTGTATATGAGTTGGACTGCATTTGGCATGACGGACGCTACTGTTAATCATGTGATGGGTCGCTAGCCTTTTGCCCGTAGCTGCTTTTAATTATCCCCTATTGTTTATCAAATGCTAGAGTGCTTGATTTTAAACAATGGACTGACCTCTAAATGAGTATTGTAAAGCAGGGCAGCTCAGCTTATGTATTTCAACCCCTTCAATCACAGAGCTTATCGAATATGATAATCCAGATATGTGTAACTTGGAGAAACAAACTTGTTCACCTTTATCGGATTCTTTTTATCTCAAGTATTTTTCAAAAGAAAAGGGCCTCAAAATTTTTTTGAAATTTTTCCGATTTTAAAAAATTCCAAGAATTTTTTGGTAAAGCAATGTTAAGCACAGAAAATTTGGTAAAACAATGTTAAGCTACCCTTCTTTAGCAAACGTATAAATATGTACACATGAATACAAATGAAAAGCACGCACAACATGGAGCATAAGTTGCTGATACAATTTTAACAACTTGTCGAACTGCTTGATATCTAAGTATGTGACCTCAGGTTTAAATACCGAGTGGTGGAGCAAGTGATGAACTCGGCATGCTAGTGCTTAGCATGAGCTTAAAAATCGTTTTGGTACTGTGTAAGCAACGAGACCGGTACACCACCAGTTTCCTCTTCATGCTCACAGTCGATCGCGAAAACGTATGTTCATGGCAGCGCTCCAGTTTGTACTGCTGTTGTTTCTTTACTTATTTCTAGCACTTCATTTGCTTATTTTTAACATGGCATACTCAGAAATTAGTCTGAAGGTCTTGATATTTTTGGCTCAGGTGGTCTTGGTATTCTTGGTATTTAGTACTTGTCATTTCAGCCTCTCCCGTTGTCTTGTTGCAATGCTTTTTGCGCTGCTACACACACCAAACTACTAGGCTAACGAGATTGGCTTGTCGAGTAATGCCCGTAGAAACTTGCACTACTGCGACAAAAAAAAAAACTGTGGCAGAGTCGTGTGTCCCGTATTTCTTAAGGTAGTAATAATAACTACAGTTACTATAAGAAAAGCAATTACACTTTCTGTCGCTCTCAGACGTCTCCCCATTTCCGACTGGTGGTGCATTTTTATTCCGCTCTTGATGTGAGGCGTTTTTTTTGCTAGGAGCACTCACAAAGCAATGTACTGTATGGTGCTGCGCAGCCAATCAGATGTGTGGAACGATGCGTTCCGTACAGTATCGCTAAAATTTCAAACGGTTTGTTTGCTGTTGATAAGAGCACTCGGCACTACGAGAGCACCGCAAGCAATAATTGCGGTGGACCTGGTACGAAGCAGATGAACAGGCACAGAATTATATGAAGCTGCAGAGGCAAATGTAGGGCCCGTTTCTGCATCAAATCAAGCTGGATTTGCTCAAAGATAGAGCAAAAACTCACAGTTGGCAACCGTCATCAAGCACCTCACTTCGACCTTCATAATTCAGATCGGTGCTGCTGTGGCAGAGCGCAAACGACATGTCGACCTCGCCAAAGAGAACTACGTACAGATCCCGATCCGAGTTGACGATGTGCAGCGGTGGTGGAGTGGTGATGATTTCCTGGGTCTTCGTGTGGAAGCTTTCTACAAAGGAGAGAATTTGGCTGTCCACCCACAGCAAGATTCCACAAATGTTTGTTTTTTTACCGTACTATGCAAATAATAATTCTTGTTCATCGCTGTAAATTTGCAGTTTTCCAATGCGATAACGCTTACTGTCTGTCTGCCGGAAAAATGCGATAACGATTACCGTCTGGTTGACAAAAAATTGTGATAACGGTTATACTCTGTTTTGGGAAACCCAAGTAGCAAAGCATTAGGGTTGCCAGGGTGATTTTGCGTTTTTCAGCGAATCTTAGAGCATTCAGATTAGTTTTTGCTTAGTTTTTGCAACATGAATAGTTTTTGCTCACGGTTTAAAAATGCGTCTCATGTTGAAAATATCTTTCCTTTTTTTTGTATGTAGGAAAGAAGGAAGGTTCTGCAAATGTGGATTGGTAAATTAGCGAGTACAGGAAATAATTTGGAGGCGTAAAGGTCGCGAAGTTGGAGTTGTCGAGACAAGAAATCAGGGAAAAGATGAATGCGATAGTGATTTCGCTTATGATACTGATATACCAGAACATTTAGTTTAACAGTTGGAAGACTTTAATAAGAAGAGTTTACGTGGAACTGTCACTGGGACAACAGTCGATACACACGAATGAGGACGACAATAAAAGGAAAGCATCAACAGACACCAAAAGAGGGAACAAAGTTGAGCAAGATCACGAAATGCTGCAGTTATATGGAGGTCAGTGGATAAAGCAAAGCAGTAGAGAAATGTCGAACAAGAACGACTAAAATATTCAGGGAACTGCGCTAACTTGAGAGGACTTGAGTAGCTACAACGAGCCGGATAAAGGCATTCACAATCTTCGAATGTTTTTTGACTTCGTACATATGAAAAATGGTGGTTCCTGAAGCTATGGAAACAGAAGACAGTATTTCAATGAAGAACTGAAAGCTTTGCGATACTCCTGTTCCTGACGGTGATTGTGGAATACTTTTTTAATTCGTATAAATTTAATAACAATATTGCGTGAATAAAAATAAATAGCGGCGCTCACCAGGGTATCCAGTGCGATCATGCGTTTTGCACAGTTTGGTCCAGTAGACGTTTGCTTACTAAAAATATAACTGTTTTACACTTTTGTGTGTGGAAAAACAGTAGATAGGCTGTCTGCTCCTAAGATGAGAAATTTCCCACTAAAAATTTCACATGCCAATACATGAAAGCTGAATTTGAAAATATGGATGGGAAACATCCTTCCAAATTTCAACGTTCTAGTTTTCCGGCTTCTGAGCTATTGACTTTAGCATCAAAACTCTCACGTGGTCATACGTAAAATTTTTGCACACTTGGGAGCTAAATTTGAGTTTGTGAGGTATCTCTGCACGGGCAGAAAATATCCTCCTGAAATTTCAGCCTCATAGCTCTTCTGGTTCTCGAAATGATAATTTTCCCCATCAAAATTTTCGCGAGGCCACACACGAGACCCAAGCGCACATGGAATCTGAATTTTGCAAGATCGCATTCCCCCAAAATTTCAGCAATCTTTTATGGCTTCCGGGACAGTAACTTTAACTGGACGTAATTGAGACCCAGACTTGATTGAAAACTGATTTTGAATTTACGGGGTTCATAGGCGAATCTATGGAATGGGGAGAGGGGGCGAAGGGAAAGTCTGAGTCTGTTCTTAAATAAAACTAAGGTGATACCAAATAGTAGTGTTACAACTCTATTTCTATTTTTTGCATAGTTCCAGAGAGGGAGGAGGCTTCCCTTTCTCTCACCTCTCGTTGTCTTTCGCCAGGGGCCCACTCTCCCCTACCCCTCCTCTCTTCGTCCTCCTCCCCAGGAACTCCATTTTTCCCTCACTCTTCTCAGCAGTCCCCCTTGATCCACTTCTGCGGGGAAGGAGGGGGCGGGGGGGGAAGGGGGGCGAGGGAAGAGTTGCACGTGGGAAGAAAACATTGTTGTTGAATTTCAGCTTCCTAGCTTTCAAATGGTTCCCGAGATAATTTCCTCGCCAAAAAAAACTAAAGTGATACGTGATATCCAAGCGCAGGGGAAAACTAGTTTTAAATTTTTTGGGTCGCACGAGTCAGGGGACACATCTGTAAAATTTCTGCTCCCTAAGCTTCTTTGGTTCCCGAATTAATGGTTTTATCCGCCAAAACTTTTATGGGGCTGTACGTGTTACCCGCGGAAAAGGGAAGGCTGAATTTAAATTTACGGGGTCACACACTGGCAGGGAGCACCTTACAAACATTTCAGCCGGCTAGCTTTTGTGGTCCCCGAGTTGAAAGTGCGAGACAAAATCTCGGACACATAGACAACCCCGTGACAATATGCTGCTGTTACACAGCACAAAATCAATAAATAGAAGAGTTCTATCATCTGCTGTTGTTAAATTCACTACTAAAATAACTACATTTAATTTATGTAATAATCCTCACCCTCCACTACAAACTTACGAAAGTAATTGGGGAGATTTGTTAGCATAGAGTTCAAGCAGTAATGATATACGCTGCATCATGGATCGAGCGAACGAAATGTTACAAAAATAAATCTCGTAGGATCTTGTCAGCGCCTAAGTTCATGTTGCAAGAGAATAATTCCTCAATTGATGAGCGTGTTATAAAAAGGCATCCTTTGAGAATAAAAACTGGCATATCTCCGGGGGCGAACGAATGGCGTCATATTCATCAAAGCTTGACTCAAAGATTCCTCATGTTCTGTTCAGTTAGTGCTTAACCGAAAAAACAATAGAAGCAGTTGCTGAAGTCGAAAAATTATGTGCTCCACCAAAATGAAGATGAGAAATATCTGAGGAATTAATTCATTCATCTTGCGACCTTCACATAGCCCTTTCGTGAGGAGGACTGTCGTCAGCCTGGCAGTATCCAGCTTCAAAACAACCAGTAGAATAAGACGGATTCCGAGGGAAAGAAGTGCCAGCAACGAATTTCATTTATGTCACAGACCTGTTGCCAAACGCGGTACCAAGCGCTAACCCACATTTTGTACCTCCTTTGTTAATCATGGAGGAAAACATTTATTATGAGAGGTTTATCGCTGTAGGCTTGTTTCCAAGCAGCCTTCAAAAGAAAGAGCCTTGCCAACGACCACTCGTGCTACTGTTCGAGTACCTCCACTCATAAGGATTGAATCTGAAAACTGCTTATCAACTGAGTTAGAAGGCGGCTTGTCCACTGAGCAGCATAACAGGAAAGACTGACGAAAATTATACAAAAATGATCATGGGAGGCAGAATGGCTTGAACTCCTTTGTACAGGCCACTTCGTATACTAGTCGAGAAGGGCGTAACAAAGAGTTATCCCTTATCATTGAATCCTCCCAGCGTCCGCTTTGGCAGTTCGTAAGCTGTATTAGAAAACCGCTGAACAGTCCAACTATTAATGCTTCATGGATGATATAGTCTTTACTGCGGGCAAAATCCAACAAACAGGAACTCAACGCAAAAAGTGAGAAATTGTACCTGAAAATGGGGAATGAGGAGATTAGCCCCTCAGTTGGAGATAAATTATTGTGTACTCGTGTGGCTTCCAGGGTCAATCTGGTTGCTACAATCGGCTTAGCGTTAAACAGTGATTATTTGCAGCTAATGCATCTGGAACTGACAACCATCGAAGAATGGAGTCGACAGAAGCGCAGCTATCAGGAGGTCTGTACGAAAGAGATGAATGAACCTTCGTGCTGCCTTTACAGCCTTGTCGTGGATTTCGAAGCGGCCGGCTGGGATTTCGTTATTGCTCCCAAACTTTACGATGCTCATATGTGCAGCGGAGAATGCCGCTTACATCATGTAAGCTTTTTACTTCATTGTTACGTACAACGGGCCTGCGTCTCCTAGGTAGGTCTACTTTGCACACACTTTCCCGTGTTCCCGAATTAGCCTAGTGAATTTACTAATGCTACTGCGAATCCTCTTCAGTTACAGCTCACCAAAACCCTACTATCTTTTCATTCTTTCGCTTGAATTCAAACAACATCTATTTACCATCGGTCAACAATGCAGCTCGATGTGACTGGTGTTCTGCGCCAAACACTGTAATTGTTACAGTAAGCTCTCCGAAGCTGTGCATCATTCACAGCACGGGCGCTGTCAAAACGAACCACATCATTCAAAACTCACTTTTATTAGCACTCTCGTGGGCATCTGAAGCAAACTCCTCCAATAATTACCTGTTCTCGCCTGCAGGTCATTTTAGTGTGATAAGGTTATGAATTTTTTCTTTGTGGCTATTTAAAGTACTACATTTATAAGATAAACAAACACATAGACAGACACACACATACAGAAGAACACACACAGATACACATGCACTTAAGTATGTACACCACGCAAAAACATGCACACACACATCACACATGCACATATAAACACAAATAAGCACATATACACAACAAAGACAAACGAACATACACATACAAGTACAAATGTACTACACGGACACACGAATATACATACGCACAAACACAGACATGCATACGTGCATACATATGCAAACAAACGCACACATACGCACGCACACACACACACATACACACATGCACACACATACATACTCGCACACACGTGCGCCCATGAGCATGTATGGAAACGCATATGCATACATACACAGATGAATACATATACACACGGACACAATGGCATGCAAACACAACACATACACGTAGTCGCGTAATAAACACACAGCAAATGGGATAAAAAACTGATTAACTTGTTTTTAGGTAGGCCGATCGGCGCACAGCAAAATTACATCGTCAACGACAAAAAACGCTGTAAGTGGGTGCTGCCATCCGACAGAGTACGACCCAATAACGCTTGTTTATATGACTCAGGAGAAGGAGCTAAAGATCCGCGAAGTACCAGGCATGATAGCGAGACGATGCGCATGCGCCTGATATACGGCCAGCTTGAGACTGAGCAAAGGGGACACGTCGGGAAGGCTGCAGAAGATGGAGAAGAGCAAGAGTTCGTTGAGAAAATACTCAAAATCGAGGCGTCATCGAAACATGGTTGCTGTATTAGCTCAGCTAGAATTACTCAAGCACACTGCACATCTGGATGCATTACACCACCACTGCTGCCGCCACCACCACCACCACCGCCGCCACCACCACTACCACTACCAACACCCCACCGTTATGATGAGATGGATGAACAAGGAGCAGTAGCAAGGCTGCGCAGAGAGTTACTCAAATTCCGGGGGCGCTGTTTGGCTAGCATTCTGACGCTTTCAGTTCCCAGGCTTCTGGCTTACCATTGCTCGTGCACTGGCACTGCTTGCGTCTGCGCTGCCATGCCAACGGCGTTTCACTGCGAATATTTTATAGTTTTAATAAATAATTGCAAAATGTACGCCTATACACACAAAAATCAGCACCAGAGAAATCAACAGTTTTTCACAAACCTACGAGTTTCTTCCCCTTAAATATCCTCTTCGCAACACCACGTGCACTCTTAGCTTCTTGCATTTCCAGAACTGTCATTTCATCACATCGTACAGTGATGTACCCAATTTCTGATAGATGGACAAAGTAGGGCACCCCTGCCACCTCTTGGCTTCCTGCTTATGTGCTAAATATAGCACTACTGGCATCTGTGGTTCCACTAATCGTTTTTGAGTGCATCTGCTTTAAGTAAGAAAAGTGTGACCCCGTTTTGGCTGAACTTATATGTTCTTTTAGCCAAACTTGTTACCGTCCCAAATGAATTTTCCCATAATCTGATTAATTTTTGTATCTCTTTTTCAATTTTCTGTATTTTCTTCTCATACTGTATCCCTAACGGGAAAAAACAGAGGCCCCGTCCTAATACGTGCTACTGCATTCGTCCCCACTTCACTGTTTGTTTAGTTTAGTTTGCATAGCTAAGCACTAGTGCTAGTTTAGGGGTAAACTACTACATCCATGCTTTTCACTCCCCACTAAGAGATGAGGATCAAAACAATTCACACTTGAAAAGGATGGAGGCGCATCAAGTATCACTAACAGCAACACCTATGCTCGAAATGTTGTCATCGCACGGACTCGACAACACGGTAACGTTCCGTATCTAGGATGCGATGCTGACCAATTGATGCGAATACCCAATCAGCCGTGAGCACTTGCTTTTTCACATCTTGTTCAAACCTGAAAGCCAATGATCGTGGGCAATGCATACGGGAATGCACCAAAAATGTTATATTGGTATGGTTAGCATTTCTTCGTGGTACTGCTATCATAACACCGTCGAGCCTTAGGATGACTTTTTTATGCATTTTGTGCTGTGCAAAAGATGCACAAAAAGCATATTATCACGGAACTGTCTGTATGTGCGTTTGTGTGTGTGTTTACGCAGCAACTTGTCCGCAACCTTCAACTCGGGAACCACAAAAGCTAGGAGGCTGAACATTTAGAGGTTTATCCCGTCCATGTATGACTCTGCAAATTTAAATTCACCCTTCCCCTGCCCGTGGATAACATGTACGGCTCCCCGTGAAAGGTTTTGACGCGGAAAATTATTACCTCGGGAACCACGGAATTTAGGAAGCTGAAATTTTAGGGTAATGAACCTCTATCCACATACAACCTTGCAAATTCAAATTTTTTATACAACCTTGCAAATTCAAAATTTTTTTTTGTTTCCGCGCTCTTGGGCGTCAACCATCGTCAGTGAAAATTTTGGCGAGATAATTATTGTCTCGGGAACCATAAAAGCCAGGAAACTGAAATTTTGCGATAACGTCCCCTGCCCACAAACAATCCCGCAGATTTAAATTCAGCCTTTCCACACGCCCAGGTATCACTTATGGCCCTGTGAAAGTTCCGGCGAGAAAAATTGTTATCTCGAGGACTATGAAAATTGGGAGTTTGAAATTTTAGGGCGATGTTCCTCTATCAATGTACGACCCCTGCAAGTTTGGTTTTGGCCCTTCACACACCACTGCATACCACGTGCGGTCCTGTGAAAGTTTTGGCAAGGAAACTGTCTCATAAATTTCAATAATTGGCCAACGCACGGGCTGCCCGTACGAAGATGCGTTTTTTGCGTGGTTCCCCGCAGTTTCTGTTGCTACCGGTACCGGTTTTATCGGCAAATGCTTCTAGCTGAACAAATTAAGATTGGCCACCAAAACTGTTAGAAAACATTCCCTTTAAAATTCCAACTTTCTAGCTTCCCTGGCACCTGGGTTAGCAACTTACTGGAACAAAATTTTCACGGATCAGTGCATGTTTACCAAGCATACCTGAGAGCTGGGTTCGAGCTGAATAAAACTTACGTGGACAGGGTATATCCTCTTAAAATTTCACTCCTTTAGTTTCTCAGGTACTTGAGTTATCAATTTACACGAAAAAAATTTTGGCGGGTCGTATGTGGGTACTACGCTTACCCGGAGGCTGGGATTGAGCCCACTAATACCCACTTGGGCGGGGACCATTCTCCCAAGATTTCAGCCTTCTAGTTTTTAGATCCCCGAGTTATGAATTTGCGTGGGAAAAATTTTGTGGGGCCCGTACGCGGGTACCACGTTTACTCGGGGGCTGGATTTGAGCTCATTAGCACCTGCTTGGACGGGGGACATTCCCCTAAAATTTCAGCTT